TTTATGTTGCTTTGCTGTGGTAGGTTTTTTTGATGCCTCAAATTGTGCCCTGTCTAGGACACGGTGTGAGAGATCTTTTATTTATACTGTCTCTCCTCATGTTTTCTTTCCTTTTCTTATCTAAGCAAAATATTATTCTAAATAAGGATAAGAAGGCCGCGCTGATTATTTTAGCCGCAGCTTCGTGCACTCCGCCCATCTTTGTGCACTCCGCCCATCTTCGGACGACTGTACGTACATATTCGCGTTGTATCTTGGTGCAATGCCAATAAAGTTTATTTTGATTCTGATTCTGATTCTGACTGGAAAATCATGCTAACGTCCAGCTTGTGGAGTGACCTTAAAGTACCCCCCTCAGTCATCCTGGACATTTATCGACTGCACATAAAAACAAGGTCTGTGCCAGGAATGCAAGTTAAACGAATTCTACTAAGAAGATCCAGCCAGAATCTTTCCTGAAGCCTGTTGATGGCTTCAGAAAGTTTAAAGTTGATGCACAACATACTGAAAGACATTCAGCTAAATATTTGTGGGGGTGCATTTGTGTATTTAACTTTATATGTACATTTTAGACTGTGTGGGTTGGGGAAAAAACTAATCAATAGTAAATTCAAACATGTGCACCCAGTTCTTGTTTTAAAAATCCATTAAAGTTGTGTTGTAGAATCGTTCCATCCTGAAAAAGAACAGATAAACCGTTTAAAGCCAAAATCATGATGGCGTTCATACGCACAGTGAGTGTATGGAAACCGCTGACCACAGCTTTAATGGTGGATTCAAACCCGCTGGGTTTTTCTGTTAATTGCAAAGTCTGCATCTTTCTGTGCACATGCATGCAGAGATGGCAAGACAGGATCGTTAAAATGTCTTAATCTCTTTAAGAATCCTCCAGTATTCACCCTGCACAGATAAATCCAAGTTAAACTGACACCACGATAAAGCAATAAAACCAGAGTCAGAAAAAGTTGGAGCAAAGTGGAGTAAATTAAGTTATGGTGGATAAAAATAGGAGAGACTGTAAAAAAGAAAAAGGTCCAAAGACAAAGGAAGATAAAGTTGTTGAGAGGTAAAAAATCAGGCAGACAAATGACAGAGATAACCTCCCAGTGAGGAACACCAGCTCCTTTTTCAGCCCATTTGTAATGATTAGCATATAGCCTGTCGAGCCTCCACGGCTACAAACAGAGCAGATGTCTCGCTCACATTACACTCTCCACAGAGCTTTATCAGCAACTCTGAGGCACTAGTGCACATGAAGGTGACAGTATCTGCACGGACTGTTCACGGTCTCTCTAAAGGGCATGAACAGGGCTTGGATGCCAGATGGGGCCAATATGGTGTAGAGGTAGGGCAGCCGACTTGGGACCAGAAAGTTGCGGTTCGACTCCCAGCTACTCCCACATGTCGTGGTGTCTCTAAGCAAGACACCCAATCCCTAATTGCTCCCCGGACACTTACACAGCTGCCCACTGCTCCACCTGGGTGTATCTCAGGTGTGATGGGTTAAATGCAGAGAACTAATTTCATCATTGCATGGGAACATACAGTGATGACATCACATAGCATGAGCAACACATGAGCAGTGGTAGAGCTGTCAGGTGGCTCCATGTTGTCACCACAACACATTCTGACTGGACCGGGCACCAGCAGATCGACAGGAGGTGGGAGAAACTATGAACAGAAGGAAGGAGAAGAGGTGGAAAATGAGAAGAGGTGATGAGACAGATGACATGTGGAGGATGCAGAGAGAGGGGATGAATGATACGAAGACAGGATGAGCAGGTCTCTTTTGTCTCCAGATCTGGTCCAGCTCCTTCAAACTGGACTAGTGCCACGTGTCTACAGCAATCCTGATATCTTATCAGAGATTCCCAGTTGGACTGAGATCCAGGCTTGGACTGTTTGTCCCATAAAGCATGGTACATGCAAATGCTAAGGGCGCCATCCATCCAGGAGGCGCTACAAAAGGGGGAAGAAAAAATTTAAAGTGTAATTTTCTTGTATTAAAACTAACACAAAATATTATTTACTAGTATAAAAATCTAATTTAGCTGAACTGAAAAGCATTTTAAACACTACTACTATTGATAACAATAATACTTGCTGAGCTTGCCCCTCCTCCTCAACTACTTAGACTGTACATGCTCATGGAGCTCAATTAAAAATATATATGAGAGTAATTCAATTTTGAAGTTAGAGATCACATAAAGTTCAGCTTAAAGGCAAGTGGTCAGTTCTACCTTCAGAATATACTGATTTCACGGTGGTTTATTAATCCCAAGAATTTAGTCAAATGCACTTTGAATGGTTGGAAAATACACAGCATCGAGTATATTTTTCAAAATCATTTTAGTTTCCTTTGTGACTGTGTCAATTGGCTGTAAAATTTGGAAAATGATGCAGGAGGCGCCGTCCAAAATCTTAGGTTGGACGCCAAATTGCCTAGAGCCGGTCCTGACGGCAGCGTTGCATTGGCAGTTTCTTTATATGTTCAATTTTCACATGTCCTTTAACTTAGACCAGTTTATCAGAGCCTGCAGATAAAAAAACAACATCTGCACAGCATGATGCTGCCACCACTGTGCTTCACAGTGGGGATGAATACCGTGTTGCCCGTGATGTTCAGAAAGTTACGTTTAGACCTGAACTGACCCCAAACCTTTGTCCACATGCTCCAGGAGTCTCCTGTATGCATGCATCACTTTTTAGTATTTCATGTTTTCAGCAATATTTACCTTTTATTAACCTTTATTAAACCCTTTCAGTAAGTCTTTTATTTACAATCAAACTGATTTTTTTAAATTATTTTTCTGGTTGCAATGCAACAAAATAGAACGAATGCTTGTGCAACCTGCAGTAAAGGGAGAACAGATGGATAATTATGAATCAAAGACACAAACAGAGCGAGTCCAACAACACAGGCACAGGAACCTGGGGACTGCAACAATAATCCTCATCCTAAAATTAGACTCATTTGTTACCAACTTCTCGCTCTCTGTAATTCTGTAATGTAATATGCCGAGCAGGGGGGCTCCCAGGCTCCTGCGGGACACGACATGATGAGAGCCAGAACCACACTTGCCTTCCAGCTAGGTAAACAACAACACACACACACTGAGCCAACAAACACACACACACAGATAAAAGAGAAAGAAAGGAAAAGTCGTGGGCATGCAAACAAGCAATGACAGAGTGAAAACTTGTTAGCAGACAGAGTTATATGTGCATGGAGCAACACATTCTGCACACACACACACTGACACACACATGCAGGGAGGCAGAACAAATGAGGGACGTGAAGCAGAAAATATTCTCATTCTTTCAGAGCAGTCCAGAGGAAAACACTAAGCTAGAGTCAAATTTACACAAGCTAATGATGCTAATCACTCCCCTCTGCCTGCAGGCTGGACGTGCTCCAGAAAGCGTTTATTTTTTGTATTAAAAGAGGGCAACACTGAGGTGAAGGCCCACCTGTGAGAGAAGGAGTTCTTGGACAGGTTCAGGTAGGAGAGGTCAGCACAGCAGCCTCGCAGCAACGCCCCAAACAACTGCAAGAAAAACACGAGAGAAACATGAAGGCTGCTGCAGCGGGAGCCCGGTGAGGAACGGAGGTTCTTAAAACACACGTTCAAGCAGACCAAGATGAAACAGGCTTTCTTCTGTGGTTGAAGCCTCTTCAACATACAAACATAACTTGATGTAAAATTCAAACCATGAGATAAATTTAGTTTCTGCAGACAGTTAGAATAAGAAACTTTAACTCGGTCAGAACTCCGGAAGAGTAAGAACCAAAGTGTTTACTTTTGATTTCCGACATTCATTTAAACTTTTCTGTGAAAGGATGTTCAGATGAAAAGATCTTTTCATTCACAGAACTTCATAAAAACATTCAAACTTTAGAGTTTCCACAATCGCTGCACGTTAATTTGTTATTCGCTGCCTGATTCAGGAAATGAAAGCAGGAGATTCTCATGTACAGCTCAGCGCGTGCAGGAACTGTTAAAAGAAAACGTGAGGTTGAGGTGAACCCTGCACGTTTATTCATATGATATTACAGTCTTGATGCACAGCTTGATCTTAGTTTATATTTTAACACACATTCAAAAGCTACAATTAAACAACACACAACAAACTCACAGAGGCAGTGAGAGGTGGTTCAAGTCCAATCAACAGAAGCAAACCCTGATGATTCAATTCAGTTTATTTATATAGCACCAATTCACAACAAAGTATGGTATGGTATAAAGTTTATTCGTTTAAAAAAAAAAACAATTCCATAAACTATATAAAAAAATACAAGAGATTTAAAATGAAAGGCAGCAGAAAGAAGAAAAAAGCGTATTATATCTTCAGTTCCCTGAGACAAAGTTGTCTCAGGGAACTGAACAGAAACATTCACATACTTAGAAAAGCCACTTAGTAAAGTTCTCTATCTAAAGAAGCCAGGATGTAGTGATTTGCAGTGCAGCTACAGCGTGCGCTCTCAAGACATAATTACCTGCAGTGTTCCCTCAGTGCAGTCTGAACTTGGCTAAAGGGCCTTCTCCTACTCCGCTCCTGTTTCCTGGAATATCTTACAAAAAGATCTGAAGCTCTCGACCTTGACCTCTCTAAGGGATTTTAAATAATTTTTAGGTTTAATACAAAAACCAATGCAGACATGTTCCTGTTTTTAGTATTTTTCCTGCTTCATAATGTAGCTTGATTTTATTTTGTTTTATGTCACTACTTTTATTTACTTTTCATTTTACAGTACAGTACATGCTTTTCATGGCTGTCTATTGTTTGTACTTCATCTGTGTTCTTTGTCTAAAACAGGTCTCCCTTGAAAATGAGTCCTCGTGACTCAATGACACTAACCTGTAGAAATAAAAGGTTGAATGAAAAATTGACTTAAAAGCAACGTAAGCTGTGTCTGAAGGAGACAAAGCGTCAGAGGAGCCAATGGTCCAATGCAGTCATTTGTCAAAGTAACTGGCGATTGTTTTTACACCGGATGTCCTTCCTGACGCAACCACAGGTCAACGAGTTGCCACAGTCCACTGCGTGGAGCAGAGAGCTGCTATCTAGGGTGCCCGAGGGAGCAGATGGTGGCTGTTAAGGGCCTTGCTCAAGGGCCCAGAGTGGGGCAAACGAGGGTGGAGGCAGGTGTGGGTGCTTCACCTTTTCCAACACAGTCTGGGGAGTTGAACCAGCGACTTTCTGATCACAGGCCCGCATTCTCAAGCCTCTGCACCACCACTCCCCCGTCACTTAAACATCACCAGTGAACCAAGTAAAACAGCTGCAACATTAAAATGCTGTTAAAGCACAAAGACAACAAGAACAGTTAACCAAAGTTCAATGAAACAACAAGTAATGAACGTGTCACATTCTGGATTAGAAGATTAATTTAGCTTTTTCTGTTGATGCATTTTCAATGGGACCTGATTTCTGCAGTTGGTGCAGTTTGATAATGTAGATTAAAACAAACAAAATTAAAATCTCAGCAAGGCTTTGGGTCCTTTTTGATGAAGATCACTGGATGATGAATCAGGACAGCTTTTCCATCGTTCTAAGCAAAGTTCAAATGAAAGTTTGACGTATAACTTCTCTTCAGTAATCTCAGAGCACTGGAAGGCTTCGTGTCTCTACAAAGCCTTCTCAGCAGCTGTTTAAATGAAGGACACAGGGTCAGACGGTTGGAGTCAAACCACCGATTCTTTTCACTAATTATTTCCGTCCTCCTGCCTGTTGAAGGGTTAATGCCTGCAGGCTCCTTCCAATCTGTCAAAGTGTGTACGGAAAGTGCTCATCTGTCAGATACGTCTGCTAATTCCCGACAGTGGGACCAAATGGGCAATAAGAGGTGTAATTGTACTGCACTGAATCAAAGTCAAGCCGAGCAGGAAAAAAATATTAATTACTTACTGTTCTTCAGTGTGTTATCCTGCATATTCATCAAATGTCAAGTTTCACTTTACAAATGGGGCAAAAGCCCCACAAAATCTTAAATTAAGTATGCTATGCCACATACAGTTTATACGATCAATGGGACATCTACCATCAATCTGTGGTAAATCCATTAATCCTGTCCTCCACTGGGGATATGGCCAACTTTGAAAAGCTTTAGGGATTATTAAAGTGTGGGCATTTTTAAATGAAAGGACTAGCATTCTTTGAAGGAATGCATATCATCCGTCGATTTTTCCTGACAGAGTTTTAGACTGGAGTTGGATCTGTTTGGCCAAACCTTGATAATCCCATAATTTGCAATATCATGCAATATCACAAGATGTCAGGGAAGTGTGTGCTGGCAATGACTCAGCTACTACCACATCACATTTGATGTCATTATCTGTAAAACTGACTGAGTTATAGCTGCTTCTCTGCTGAACTGGATTTAATCCTTGAGTTAATCTGTTGCACATGCACATCCAACAATGACTTCCTGAAAGGTCCATTCATACCTGTCCTTTGTCATGAGATTTACTGCCAACAAATAACCCAGGTCGAGTCCAGAAGTTTTAATTTAATTTACTGCCCTTTACCTTTATGACAGGTGAGGAACACCTGGACAGGTCTCCAGTCCATCACAGAGACACATAGAGACAAATGAGACAAACGACCATTCACTCTCTCTCTCTCACACCTAGAGACAATTTAGAGTTACCAATCAGCCTAACATGCATGTTGTTGGTTTGAGGGAGGAAACTGGAGTACCCGGTGAAAACCCACACATGCACGGAGAGAACATGCAAACCCCGCCCAGAAAGGCCCCCGGCCAGGATTTGAACCAAGACGACCTATTCGCTGAGAGGTGGCAGATCTACCTACTGCACCACCGTGCTGCCAGTTAATGTTCTTTTGGGGAAATCAAACAACTTGTTTTTTTGTTTTGTTTGTTTTGTGCTCTATTAATCCCCAATGGGGAAATTAATTCTCTGCATTTTTCTCATTGCACATGTGAAGCAGTGGGCTGCCATCTAAGGTGCCTGGGGGGTGGAGTTAAGGGCCTCGCTCATGGGCCCAGGGTGAGCAAATGAGGGTGGAGGCAGGTGTGGGTGTTTCACTTTTTCCACCCACATTTTGATGTTGTCGGTCTGGGGAGTTGAACCGGGGTTGACCTTCGACCATCCGATCACAGGTTCACCCTCTCTAGCCTCTGCCCTCCACCCCCACCCCAACGTAGGGCGGGGGGAGCCTATGTATGGTAGTAGGGTTATGTAGTAGAGGTAATGTACGGTTTCAGCTTTTTCCTCGGGTTCCTGGTTCCTGGGCAGTACCAATGAGCAGCAGCTGTGTGTCATTGTCCTAACAAGCTCCAGGAGTATAAAGTACTGCAGGAGAGCTCCCTTCTGCTGGAGCATTACATACCTGTTGGTAGTAGCTATGTGACTTCTCTTGGTTCTTGAACTTAAAGATTAATACTTAACTTTTTTCTCTTTTTACTGTCTGAATGTCTCATATAGTATGGATGTTTTATGTCCTACTGACTGTGAAACTAAAGTAGTGTTATGTGGATACTAATCTACTACAAAACAAATTTTCCCTTGGGGATAATAAAGATTCTTGAACTTGAAGTTCTCCTTGTGCTCCTAGTGCCTGCCTCCTGAGTCTCCAACCCTAGATCCCTCGTCTACTTCCTCACGCCTGCAAAAGAACTATACTTACCTTCAGCTGCTCAGCCTCCATTCCACCACCAGCCCTGCTACTTACCTCTACCTGGAACTACCCTCTTCTCAATGTGTCGAGATCTCCACCTCCCAGTAAGAGCTGAACAACCTGAGATTAACCAAACACTCTTCCATTATCTTGGACTCTATTTCCACTTTCCTCAGGTTCCCAGGTTCCCTTGTAAATGATACTGTTAAATATTCATCACTGTAGATAAAGCACTGTTATTATATTAACGTTTGGGTCTGTTTTCCCTCAGTCTGGTCCTCTCTGGGTTTTGCCTCATAAACATGATAGATAACTGTTTTAAAATACATTTTTTAATTAATCTCTTCAAGTCAGTTTTTTTAGAGCTGTCTTAGCCTGAAATAAAAAACAAATCACATTTCAATAATTTTTATAAAAATTATTTTAACTCTTTAAAGGCCTTTATATTCAGTATTTTTTAAAGATGGACAAACATTTATTTTGGTGATTTTTGATTTTGCCCTCAGGAACACGAGCGTGTCGTAAGGTTACTGTGAGGTTATGAGAGTATTTGTAAAAGTAAAAGAATTTTTAGGCTTTGTCAGAAAAAATCCTGTTCATTGACTGCAGAAAAATAAATTAAAATGTGGATGATAAATAAATGTGTAGCTGACCCCCCCCGGAAGACAAAACAAGTGATATTCAAAGATTTTGCACAAAGAATAGCACAATAGAGTATGTGTTGTACATAATTCATAAAATAACTAGCTGAGCAGAAACTGTTTCATGAAAGTTTCATTAAAATTGGTTCAGAAGTTCATAAGGCATTTAGCTAAAAGAAAGAATTGACCCTTAATGCTTAATGATAACATTTTAATAATCTGTCAGTTTTAAGCAGCGTCTTGTTCCTTGCAGGAGGTCAAAC